TATATATATATATATATATATATATAAGAATGGCCTGAGGCTATTAGACGAGCCCAGACTATCCCTGGGTGTGCTAAATATTCGAGTACCACATCTTACACACGGGAGGATTTGCACTCGCGACCTGAGAGAAATTAGGACCTTCAGAGAGGTTATTCTACCAACATGCAACCACATGATATATATGTGTGTGTGTGTGTGTGTGTGTGTGTGTGTGTGTGTATATTAAAAGAATTATATGACTCTCTAGCCACCCCTAATGTATCTAACAATTCAAGTACCACCTCCTTATGGCCAACTGTGCTTGAGAAGATTTGAACCACCGACCTGAGGGGTCTTGTACTATGGATATCAACCAGCAGATCGGGGTACGCGACACATAATCTCAACTATGTATATAAAAATTACATAATCTATAAAAAATTATAAATTTTTATAATATGAACAGATGAGTATTTTCGACATTTATCCACTAGTACATTCAAAACTGAATTTTTTAAACAGAATAACTGTTTATGGAACACCAGTTTTTAGATAGTACATTTTCCACAGCAACATTTAAATTGAAATTTCATACAGTCACAGTAGAAACACAACCCAAATTATCATACTTTAGCTTAGTAAGTGGATGTAGTCAACACAACTGAGTTTCATAGTCCAAGAGAACTATAAATTATGATGAAATCTTATCGAGGGGGATAACCAACTTTAGCTAATAAATGAATTTATACCCTATCAAGCGCATTTTATGGCTTTAAAGTGATAAGCTCAGCCATTGGAGAACATCTGTGTTAAGTTTGTAACCTAAATATAATGATGTCATTGCAATTAAAACCAAAATAGGAAGCGCGTCACATACTTACTACCTTGAGATTTCTTAATCTAGTTATATGAATGCACTTAATATAATATTGAATCTCCGTAAACATTGGCCAAAATTAAATTTATTATCTTTGGAAAACTAGTGAGGAAAATAGAATAGCAACAACTCTGAGCATTAAGTAGCTAGTTTTTGCTTGAACTTTTTTAAGGTTATTCTCATATATTTCTGAATGGTATAAATTTGAATAAAATTCTCTATAATTATGATTTCACTTTAATTATGTCC